AATGCAGCTAAAAATAAGGAATGAAGTGCAAGTTTTTATATTCATCAGAAAAGCACATCCCCATCATTCATCAGCTCTCTTTCTCTGTCCAAGTCCCCAAGCACCTACCTACCTGCAGTCAGGCACAAGACTCGAGTGTCTGAACAACCCCTGAGAATACTCTGCAGATTCAAAGCCATTTGCAGGCATGCAAAGTCTCAAATTGGGAGAAAACGAGTAAAAAAGAAAATATGATTCAGGAAACAAGGGACCCAACAAAGAGAGAGAGTGAGGGAAGTTTCCAGGATAATAGCAAAAGAAAGTGACAGAATGACAAACCATACATGGGGGTAGAAAGTGACCAGCTGAGACAGGAGCAGGAGAGCAAAGGTTTCTGGAAATAAATTTAAAATGGAACTCAGATTATCTGGAAAGTCATGGGTTATGTGAAGACTTATTTAAAAGACTACTAAATTAATAAATCGACACAATTATTAACTCCAAGGAAAAAGAAAGAAAGCATAATCACGGTATACTACTAGATCAGCAAGGAAATATGTGTAGACAGTCTCAATCATGTAAATACAGAATAAAACTTAGACAAATCTGTGATTTAATTACATTGGGAAGCTAGAGTGAGGGGAAGCAGGGTGTATGAGACAGCTAAATCTTTATTTACCAATGTGAAAGGTCAATAGATCATGTATAAAATTGATAATATCAAGATATAGTAGCATAAACACATAATTTTTATATATGAAAATAAATACCAGAAGACACTGGAAACAGACTAAAGCTTGAGGGGTGAAACTGGGCAAAAGGAAAGGTGGGTAATTTTTTTAAATTATAACTGTTTTGTTATATACCATTATTTTAATTAAATTAGCTTATAGTCTGTGTTTCTCAACAATTTTTAAGCCACGACTGCATTTGATAAACAAAACCCCAAAATTCCTATATATTCTTTTAACATTATTTGAAGATTAGAATAAAGCAAACCTTGTGACTGAAAACACTTTAAATCAATGAGAAAAAAATGCTGTTTTGTTTTCAAACTGGACATGCCCTTTCTTCCCCCCACCCCAGAACTAGATAAGAACACACCTCCCCATCCTGCTGAAGATAACAACTGTTCACCTTTTCTTAACTCTTGGCTGAGGCTGAGAATCTTAGAGTGTCTCCTTATTTCAGTTAACCGCATTGAATCCAAATTGTTTTCTGCTTGGCTTTCGATGCCTACCCTTCTCTCACAGCCATCTGCCTAGCTAACCTTATTTTCCATTACATCACTACGGGCACTCTCGGATCAAGTTGGATAGATCCCTTAGAGCCATGCAGACCCTGGGTCATAGCTGCTGTTATCTTTTGGTTCGAGCTGTTACTAAATACCTGGGTTCATTTCCTCTGTACCTGGCCAAAGCCTTCTTGTTCTTCAAAGCCTGTTTCAGGATTAGCAAAGGTATTTCTTATCATAATTCCATTTTATCAACTTAGTAACTTTGTCTTTATTATTGAAACTTAAAATACTACTTAAGGAGAAAAAATTAGTGAAAGATACCCTTTATGGCATTTCAGGCAAAAGAAAAATTTAAACATACGAACACTTGCTCAAATTCAAGAGACTGTGGTAAATCTACAGGGTGTGTTAAACCAGTGAGTTTCACAACTTATGTGCCAATAGTTCTTTCAGCATTTGGCATTCTCCATTAGAGAAGTTTCATCTTTTGCTCTGGCTGGTGTGGCTCAGTGGACTGAGCTCTGGCCTGTAAACCAATGGGTCACTGGTTTGATTCCCAGTCAGGGCACATGCCTGGGTTGTGGGCCAGGTCCCCTGTTGGGGGCTCTCAACAGGCAACCACGCATTGATGTTTCTCTCCCTCTCTTTTTCTCTCTATTCCCTTTTCTAAAAACAAATAAATAAAATCTTTTTTAAAAAAGTTTCATCTTTTTAAAGCACTTAGTCCCCAAAACATGAACACACAAATCATTTTTTTTGTTTTGTTTTGGTTTTTTATTGTGTTTATTGAGTTAATTGGGGTAGCATTGGTCAACAAAACAGTACATGTTTCAAGTATACAACTCAACAAAACATCATCTGCATACTGCATTGTATGGCCACCACCCCAAGTAAAGTCTCTTTTTATTCCCATTTCCCCCTACTTTGCCCTCTTCCATTTCCCTTCACCACCCCCCCTTTCCCTCTGGCTATCACCATACTGTTGTCTGCATTCCTCCCCTCTGACAGCTGTTTGTCTCTTCCATGAATTTATGCTTCCGTTTCTATTTTGTTTGTTAAATTATTTTGTTCAGTCCCTGGTTCAACCCCAGGTTTCAACACACACACACACAAATTATTTTGTTCATTAGATTCCACACATAAGTGAGATCATATAGTATTTTTCTTTCTCTGATTGCTTATTTAACTTAGTATAACCTTTTCCAGTTCCATCCATGCTGTCGTAAAAATGAAGATTTCCTTTTTTATGGCCAAACTGTATTCTATCATACACATCATCTGTCATTGTCTGTTTGACAGATAAGTAGCAAATCGAGGCTGGATTGAGACAAGCCAATAAATCTGGTAAGTATTTTTATATTGATCTTTCCTGTTTATTACTTAAAGATTACCATTTTTATTGTATTTATGGCACAAACAATATAATAATAATATCAAAGAACAAAAAGAAAAAAGTTATCTCTACTTCTACCGCTCAACCTGTTTTCACTTTTCCATGTATTCTTTTATTTCTCATCTCTAGACATACATAATTTTACATGCAAAGCATTCTACTTTTTATTCTTGGTACTATGCTATAAACATTTCATGTAAAACCTCCTTTATACTTAACATTTAAATATTATAAAATAAGCTGTCAATTAATATCTTTATAAAATTGGTTTATTGCAGTACCATAATTATTTGTGTTTCTGTCATTAATCATTTATAAATCTTTCCAATTTTTTTTAGTAGGCTGTGGACAAATAGGCACTCATGCAACTGACAATGCTTATCAAATTTAAAAGGCACATGCACTCTGACCTAGAAAATCCATCTCTTGGTATTTATGCTTGAGAGGCAATTATGGAAATGTGTAAACACACATGTACTATTTGCTGTATTGTCTCCAAGTAAAAATACAAGTTGCCCAGAATTATCAAAAATAGGGTACTAGCTAAATAAACTTTGGTATACTTATATATTACATATTATATGGTCATTAAAAATAATGAGTTAGCCCTGGCTGCTGTTGCTCAGTGAATTGCACAGCAGCCTGTGAACCAAAAGGTCACTGGTTTGATTCCCAGAAGGGCACATGCCTACGTTGCAGGCCAGGTCCCCAGTTGCAGGTATGTTGGAGGCAAAAGATCAATGTATCTCTCACACACTGATGTTTCTCTTCTCTCTTTCTGTCTTCCTTACCCTCTCTCTACAAGTAAATAAATAAAATCTTTTTTTGGTTAAAAGGCATATTAACATTTATTAAATAAAAATTTAACTACATGTATATCTATTACAACATGTACAAGATCTATATGAGGAAAACTACAAAACTCTGATAGAATATATAAAAGAATAACTAAATAAACAGAGAGATACTGCATGTTCATGCATAAGAAGACTCCATATTATCAATAAAGACAACTGCTAATGGAGCAGAGATAATGTTTTCAGCAAATGGTATGGGGCAACTGGTCATTGACATGCAAAAATGTGTCAGACACAGACTTCTCACCCTTCCAAAAAAATAGATCATAGACTCAAATGTAAAATGCAAACTTTAAAACTCTTAGAAGGTAAGATAAGAGAAAACCTTGCTGATGCTGGGTATGGAAATTACCTTTTAGATAAAATACCAAAGGTACAACCCATGAAGAAATAATTGATAAACTGGACTTCATGAAAACTAAAAACTTGGACTCTGTGAAAGGCAATATCAAGAGACTGAGAAGACAAGCAATAGTTTGGGGAAAAATATTTGCAAAAGATGCATCTGATAAAGGACAGTTATCCAAAATATACAAAGAATTCTTTTTTTCTCTCTCTCTCTAGGATTTTTGGCTCATTCATACGTGAAAAAACTTAGAAACCATTTGATACATCTACAACACAGATACCCACACACTGTAAGTGAAGCATCTATCTTTAGAATTTGAAATATCAGCTGCTGGATAAGGCTATAGCTATAACTATAGATAGCACATCAGCTCCCAAATTGAAAGATTCCCTTATTTATCTCAGAATTGGAGTGGGAAATGCTACTAGCACAATATTAACCATTTCTCCTAAGGGAACACTGTACCAATCAATGCTTACACATTACATTGATCTTCATTGTATACATATCCTTTGCCAAGCCCATTTGAAAAGCCATTCAATTGGAAGGTTTAGTTGATCAATCTACTTTGCAGTCAAGACAACTTCCAGTTCTGCAGTCAAAATATTTTCAATCCAAACTGGATCCCATATATAAAAAGATAACTGTGAACTAAACCTTATGAAAACAACCCATAGCAACCACATAATCAAGATGAAATCTTCACTGCTCAGCTAGGTTAAAATTATGTTTATATAAAGAGCACAGAAAAAAATTATCTTTATGATCAAAATAAACCAACCAAACTGTTTAATTTCCTTCCTTCTCTTCAATTAAAGAATTTCTCTGGTGTGGGGGACAGTTTAGTGGCTGAGACTATAGGTTCTGGAGTCAGACTTCCTGAATTTAAATTGCATTTCCCCGGGCTTACTGCTCTGCACCTTGGCCAAGTTATTTAACTCTTTTAGGGCCTCAATTACACCTATAGAAGAGGGGAAGCAAAGCTGCTAGTTTCATAGGGTTGTTAAGATTAATTAAAAAATAGAAATAAGGTATTTAGAACACCACCAATAGCTAGTAAACATATGATAGTTATTATAATTACTATTTAATAGTATCATAATTCCTCATTGAGTTTCCATTTTTCTTCTAAGTGATCCAACTTAGAATATAAAATTGTCTTTAAGCAAGGTCTGTCTTCCTCCTGTCCCCAGACTTGACACAATACACATTGCATAGCATCAACTCACTACATGTTTTATGGAAGAAGAAAGGGAGGAAAGGAAAGGAAGAGAAATGAAGGAGGGAGGAAGGAAAAGAAGAAGGGAAGAGGGGAGGAGAAAGGAGGAGCCAATGAAAGAAAAGAAAAGGATTAAAACTTAAAATTTATACTCAGGAGTAAAAATCCAATAATAACATGTCATGGGAATAGAACTCCCCCATTAATTTCACAGGTAACATGGCTGTTCTTTTTCTAAATCTACCCATTTAATACTTTTGTTATACATGTACAATCACAGCAGTGTGAATACATGACAGCAGACATGCTTTCTGGTTAACTTCCCAAAATTTTTAAAAATTTAGTTCATTTACTTTATGTACAAACATTGCAATTAGGAGGAAAAACAAAGAATAAAGCATAAATTCATGTAAACAAACTAATTCAATCTTTAGTTTTTAAGTTTGTTTACCTTCAAGTATTTCCTTGGGTAAATATTAACCAAACAACTAGGTAGTTTAATGTGTTCATTTAAAAATTTTATAATCTTAACAAGAAATAAGATATTTCTTATTTAAGTATACTTTTAAGTATACTTTTAAATTTTGAAATCAATTATTTACTGGGCAGTGACACTATAATTATACATAGTAATAAAAAGAATGATGATAATATGATAAAATGTAAAAATAAATTTAAAGCAGGTAATTATTTTGCTAACTTAAATTCAATTAAGAGTACATCTGAGTGATCTGAATGATGTAGTTTGACTGATTTATTTTCCCTTAGCAAAACAGTCAAGTTTTCTCTTTATTTTATATCTAATAAACTTATTACATAGGTATTTGTTTATAATTTGAAGTGAGATATTTTTCATGCTTTTCTAGGAATGCTAGTTCCTCTGGAACAAATATTTTCTCAAATTATATGTTCTACCGATAGAGTATTTTTATTCACTAAATTAACATTTTCTTGTTTATGTTGTTGTGTGGGACAATTCTTTTTAAAACCACTCTAATTATCCATCTATTTATCTTACAACTGGGATCATAATTTTTGAGGTTGTTTTATTTACTATGGAAAGAATACAGTGTTTTACTACAAAAGAACACCAAAAAGGCCTTTAATTCTGGTAGTTCTTACCCATGAGTCATAAAAACAAGAAAAAAGATTAAAAAGCAGTGTTTATAATCTTAGGCAAAACTGTACCCTAACCTAGTTATAAAAGTATGTCTTTTTAAAAACATCACACTCAGAACTATGATTTTAAACCCCTTAATTTAACTTTGCTTTGCCTTTGAAGGCAAAAACTCCTTGAACTTTAAATAGCTTTTAAAATTAACTCTGCTCTCTCATTGAATTTTTCAAGTCCCAAAGCCACTGTTTGTTGGATTACAAATAGCATTTGTAAGAGAGGCCCCTCACTAACTGTGTACATGTACTTGCCAGCTACCATTTCCAGGGCCAATTTCCGTACTAGTGATTAAAGGGTTAGGTTATAATAAACCCAGTTGGTAGAACAAAGGCTAAGAGAGCAAAACTTCATTACCTTCGAGATCTCTATCTTTCTTATATTGAATATTAAAATGTACTAAATAAAAGTGGAAAGGAAAAGAAGGTAAAAAAAATTTGGAGAGAGGGGAGAAGAACTACCAGAATTATAAAAGATGGGCAAATGCCTGCATTAAATCTCATAGGAAGGAAGCCTAGGTTATTTGATATTAATGTAATGACTGTAAAATGAAAAAAATTAATTAGGGAAAAGTTAGAAGAAATTTACTCCCCCCCCAAAAAAAAATTTGACCTGCCTGAGTGGTTCTCAGCCCCAGTACACAGTAGAATGATCTGGAAAACTTTTACAACATAGGCAATTCCTGGGCCCCAGCCCACTGAGATTCTCACTTGATTGTCCTGCTGTGACACCTGAGCACTGGCATCGCTTTAAATCAGCAAGATGGCTCTAATGGCAGGAGGGCTGACAACGCAGATCCACGTCTTACCACATCAGTACTCCACAGGTCTCTCACCAAAGGCCCTGGTCGCTTTAGCACCAATGAACGCTCACCGCTCACTGGGGGCCTGCACAGTGCCAGCGACTGTGCCAGGCTCTGAGGAGACAAACATGTTTGAAAATTAAAGACTTCATAGCACACCTGCAGTTCATATTTCTAAAAATGTGGTCTTTAAAGTCTTCTGCCTTTTTTCCCCAGAGAAGATTTTTCCAGGAGAAAGCTATATACATCAACATGTATTTCTAATGACACAAACTCTTTTAAAACCCCAAGACTGATTTGAAAACAAACTGTAATTTGAAAAATAAGAACACAAATGTCAATAACAATTAAAACATTTACTAACAAAAAATAAGGACTAATGCCTCGAGTTCAGGTCAAAACTAGAATCATGAGTTTAAAGTAGATGGCCAAAAACTTCCTTTCAGATTTATACACATCAATTCTTCTGGAATAACATTTTTATGTAATAAACATTTTACAGCATTTTATGCATTGCCAGTCAAAGACCACAGATCTTTTAAATGTTTATAAACAATTTCATAATAGATTTTTAAAAAGTCAATGTACAAACTTTAAAAATGTGTTTTCTGTATCTACAGTCTTACATATGGCTATGGTTTTCAGTGATACTCAAATATGAAGTCTTTAATTCTCTAAAAATCTATGTGCAAAAATTTTCACCATAACATTACTGGAAATAGCAAAAAAAAACAAACTTCAACACTGAAAAGAGAGTATTATTCTGAGACTATTTACAAACATGGAGAAATTCCCATTATACAGGGTCCACGAGAAGTAACATCTGCTTGAGTGTGGTTGGTAGGGTAATAATATGGGTATAATAATTTGTAGCTTTAATTTGAACACTTCACGTAAAATGTCATATGCTGTACGTGAGTGCGATATTGTCATGTTACAGAATTATATGCTTATGACTTTGTAATAAAAAGGGGTCTTATTTGCCCTGGACCTCGTATAATTAAGTTAAAAGATTATTTTTTTTTACTATAATCACAAGTTTGCTTTTAAAAAGTGTATATATATATGTGTATATATAAGGACTAAAAAGGAAAACACAACATTAACACTGTTTACATATACAAATCCATTTTTAGTGAAAAATCCTGCGTAGTCCCTCGCTTAACTATGAACAAGCCCAGAGACCTCTCTCCACACAGAGGAGATGACAACCAAACACGGCAGGCCAAAAACAAGAGCATGCAGAGAAAGCACTTCAGGCTAGGGCTCTGTGATTGTCAGAGAGGAGGCTTCTTCCCACCAGTAGAAAAATTGAAGTGATGGGATGATTTGAACAATTAATATTAAGTAAAAGGATAAAAGCCCCTTTTTCAGGCCCTCTTTGCCAAAGCTAGCTGGATCCCCTAAAGCATGACGGACTCTTGTTTCATGAGTCTCTGTTGTCAGGACTAGAAAATTACTGGAAGCGCCCTGAAGGTGCGGAGGTCCAGGACAAGACTGACAGAAAAGCCTCAGATGGCGTCCAAACAAGCTGCAGCCTATAGGAGACCAACGGGAACATCCTGCTCTACAAACGCCCCAGTTACCCAGCCACAACCCCCTTGCCCTTTATAACCCAATAAAAGCTCAAATCCCTAACCCCTCAGGGCTGGTGCCTTTCTCCAGGCCTATCCCCTTTCCTTCCCTGAGAAGCAAGTAAAACTTTGCTCTCTCCATTTCCCTCTCATTGTGAATCTTTCACAGCCAGTGGTCACTGGCCACCCTAACATTAAGAAAAACTCCCCAGCTTCCTCAGCCATAAATTTAATAAAGTTTTTTTTCTCTTGATATATGAATACTAATGAATAACAGTCCCTACTCTGTTGTGAAAACAAAAACATAATCCAAAGTTAAGTGAAATTATTTGTAGATTATTAATAAATGAATTTAAAAACCTGAATTTGATCCATAAAGAGACCCTTTCACAAAATGTGAAAGATGATTTTTAAAAAGTATAAACAATATCTTGGATTTTATCTGAATACCCAAATCATAAACATTGGTGCTAGCATTATGACCCCCTAGTCATATATATGGGCCTGATTCCAAGGTAAGAACTAATAATTATGTTTCATGAGGAAAATCTGGAGAGTATATGTCACTATAACAAGATATTGATTAAAAATACATGAAGTTTTCCTTAGATTTAAAGTGAATCTCTATTCAAAGGCCATGTATAAAAAAGCATTCTTTTTGAGAAACCTGTAGCATTTACTTTTACTCTCCTGTATTTGATTTCCTGAGGACTGCAATAGTTTTTCAATTAGGAGTTATCTGAAAGAGTTCTTACCATATAATATTATTGAAATAGTTCACTACATGTATATATAAGGTGTTTACTGCCATCACCACCGCAAGTAATGATAATGATTATAATGATCATACAATTCATTGGGCTCTATTATATACATATCACGTCCTTAATGGGCGCTAAACACTTTTTATCTCACTTAATTCTCACAATTACCTATTTATTCCTATTTTAAGAATGAGAGGACTCTTGTTTTGTTCATTTGTTTATTTTGTTCATTAGATTCCTCTTATGGGCAAGATCATAATGGTGTTTGTTTTTCACTAACTAGTTTATTTCACTTTGAATAATGCTCTCCAGTTCTATCCACGTTGTCACAAAGGGTAGGAGTTTCTTCTTTCTTTCTGCTGCATAGACTAAAAGTGACCAGAGGAGAAGAGGAAAAGAGATAATGGTGGAAAGAAGGGGAAAGGACCAGACAAAGAACATGTACAAATAACCCACAGACAAGGACAACAGTGTGGGAATTGACTGTAGGAGTGGGGGGTGGGATGGACGGAGAAGGGAAAAGGGGGAAAATTTGGAATAACTGTAATAAAATAACAATTTTTAAATGATTTTAAAAAGGAATGAGAGGACTATGACTAAGCACAATTTTAAAATTTTCATGAGGTCACAGAATTAGCAAGTGGCAGAACTAAAACCAAAGTCCTTTAGTTTTTTTTTCTCTTTTAAATTGGAAATCAAATACATTCCAACAACATATGCTCACTGTAGAAAAAATTTTAAATATAAAAAAGTCAGAGAGAATGAAAAGGCTTAGCCCTGAAAGATAACTGTTGAAGCATTTTTGTTGCATTTCCTTCCTATATTTTTGCTGTGCCTTTTACACCAGGGCCTGTGATCTTATGTACCAAACTCTGTAACCCTCTATATTTCCTTCGGTGTATATTCCAAACCTGCCCTTCTAGAGATTCCTGGACCCTGCTCTGTCCCTCACTCCTGTGCTCTAGACACAAGTATACAGAAATGCACAAGGAATTACACCCCCCATCCTACCTCCCCATGGTTATCATTTCCTGGACCAGGTCTTTCCCCTATCAAAAAACTGGCAAATGAAAAGAAGCAAAACACAAATGACCAGACAAACCAAGAATTGCTTCAAAACAGACCAAAGTACATAATCAATCACTGGGAAACAATGTCTCAGGTCTCAAAAAATAGAGATAGAAGTTGTCATCAAGGCAGAGAAAGGAAAATATTGTATCATTTCATTGATATGTGGACTTTTAAAAAATCAAAACAAATGAACAAATAAAACAAAACAAAACAGACTCATAGAACACAGAACAAACTGATGGTTGCCAGAGGGGAGGGGGGAAAAGGAATGGGTGAAAAAATGAAGGAGAATATAATCAACAATAATGTGATAACTTTGGTGACAGATGGTTACTAGGTGTTCACATCATAAAATATATAAATGTCAAATTCCTATGTAGTACACATTAAATTAATATAATATTATGCATCAACTATCATTTTTAAAAAATGTGTCATCAACCCATGTCTCTGGAGAACAGACAGCATGCAAAATGGAATCTTTAGTGTTCAACAGGAATCTAATAAAGTGTGCTCCAAGCTCTGATACACACAGAGACAGTTTACAACTGTCTCCTTAGTGACTGTCTTCATGAGTCAATACTTCTGAAACACAAATTGCAGAAAGTGTATATTGCTGTGACTTCTTTGAATGGCATTTTGGAAATAACTACAGGTGTGTAAAATATACTTACTCTTTTATTAAAAGATTTTATTTATTTATTTTTAGAGAGAGGGGAAGGGAAGGAGAAAGAGAGAGAGAGAAATATCAGTGTTTGGTTGCCTCTAGCACACTCGCAACTAGGGGCCTGGCCTGCAACCCAGGCCTGTGCCCAGACTGGGAATTGAACTGTCAGCACTTTGGTTCACAGGCTACCACTCAGTGCACTGAGGCACACCAGCCAGGGCAAATATACTTATTCTTTAATCAGAAGTTTCATTTCTAGAATTTTTTTCTTCAGACCTACTCAAGTACACAAAAAGTATGTACACTAATATTAGTAGATTATTGTTTGCAATTGAGAAAAATTAGAAAGCATGTGCATATCCATCAGTGAGGGATTGCTATAGGTGCTGGGGATACAGAAGGTGTCCTGTCACAGAATGTCATTCCAGCGGACATCTGACTTGTCCTGCCATAGCAGTCTTAGTGTAAAGCACCCTCTGTGAATCTGCATCCTGGAACTGCTTCATCGGTACCTCAGATAATATCAATGAAAAATGATAAAATTAACACTTTTTTTAATGTGACAGAGCCAGACAACTAAATGGAGAACCAGCTAAGAATTCAACAGACTGGTTATAAGGACGTTCAGGGAACTTAGTGAGGACCTCAACAGAATCTTAAAAACAGCAAGAGAAAAGCAGTTAGTCACCTACAGGGGAGTTCTCATAATACTTTCAGGTAATTTCTCAAAAGACACTTTGCTAGAAGGGACTAGCAAGAAATATTCAAATCATGAAAAGCAGGGACCTACAGCCAAGATCGCTCTACCTAGCAAAGTTATCATTTTGAATTGAAGGACAGATAAAGAGCTTCCCAGACAAGAAAAAACTAAAGGAGTTCATCATCACCAAACTATTAGTACATGTAGTGTTAAAAGGGCTTATTTAAAAAAAAGTAGAGGATCAAAACTATGAACAATAAGATGGCAATAAATACATATCTCTGAACAATTGAATCTAAAAAACAAACTAAGCAAAGAAGAACAGAGACAGAATTATGGATATGGAGAATAGTTTGATAGTTTTCAGGTGGGGGGGCAGTGGGGGAATGGGTGAAGAGTTGAGGGATTAAGAAGTACACATAGATAGTTACAGAATAGCCATGGAAATGTAAAGTACAGTATAGGAAATGGAGTAGCCAAAGAACTTACATGCATAACAGATGGACATGAACAATGGTGTGAGGATTGCCTGAGGGAGAGGGAGGCGGTAGGGGGCAAAGCGGGAAAAACTGGGACAACCGTAATATTATAATCAATAAAATATAATTAAAAAATAAAACCATGTTGCTAAGGCAAAGGGAAATTTCAGCATAACCAAATCCACTGTATTATCACAAATTTAGAATTAGTGAAAATGTAGAATTTTATGGTTGGATGAGATCTCAAACTTTATCAGGTTGAACCATGCAACTTTCCATAATATCCCTACCAGTCATATACATATATAGGTATGTGTTTGTTGAGCATATACTATGTGCCAAGCCCATAGGAAGTGGTTTCTAGCTGAAGAAAATCTCAAGGGGCAATTCCTCATCTCCCAAAGCAGTCCTTTCCTCCTTAGGCAGCTCTAACAATTAACCCTGAACTGACAATGTATCCTCTGAAGCTATTACTACGTCTGCCAGTGACCCCCCCATTGCAAAAATCACTGTCTTATTTTTAATTTCATATTGCTTGAACTAGCTCCAGCATTTGACATGAATGACACCACTTTATTTTGAACTTCTGATCTAATTTCATGTCTTCCCCCTAAATTAAATTAGGTCCCCTCATTAAAACCTGTTACAGCACCCTATACTTTCCCTATAGAGTACTTATTAGAAGTTATAAATAAATGCTTCAGAACATGGACCTTGGTGCTATACTGCCTGGATTCAAATCCTGCTCTAACACACACTACCCGTTTTACCTTGGGCAAGTTTTCTTTACACTCAGTTTCCTCAACTAAAAAGACAAGAATAATAACATCACCTATCTCACAGGCTATTGTGAGTAGTAAATAAGCTACTATTTACGAAGTGCTCAGAAAAATGTAATTGGCAAAATACTAAGTAATATGTGTTTGTAAGTTAAAGTTAAATAGATCATTTGATTAAAATCAGTGGCTCTACTAGATTATAAATTCCATGAGGATAAGATGAAATCAAGTCTATTCTGCTTACCATTTTATGTCCACTGCCTAGTTCTGTATCTTTCACATCAAAGTGTTTGTTGAATGAGTGAAGGAATAAATGTAAAAGTGGGACAGGCTTATTGTTTCATATGAAAACTACGCATCAACCCAAGGACCATCCCACGATGGTTGGTCACTGTCAAGCACCTGGACAATTTCCCTGGAATGTTCTCTCCTTGACTGCACTCAACGACTGTCCTTGGTCTCTTCTGACTCTCACATTTCTGGTTACACAAGCTGACCTTTGTGAAATGCTTCTGCCTTTTAACCTTGGCAACCTGAATGGACACCTGATGCGTGGGTCACTGGCCAGCAGTGATCACGGAATGCTGCGGATGGCTTGTTGAAACACGAGAAAAACATACACAGAGACAACCATGTCCTGTGGGGGAATAGGAACAGCAGGGCCACTCCTCACGTGGGGAGAGCGCTCCGTTTCCCGCTCCGGAGAGGTTTTTTATTGGTTTCGTTTGAATAAGAATTCAGGTAAAAGCTCATTACTCATTTCTAGGAAGTAAGGATCAAACAATAGATAACAAGGAAGTCTGAGGGTCTATTTTGAGTCAGGGTCAAAGAGGTGTAAGACTTTAAGGAACAAACTAACTAATTCCTTGGACCCTTATCATTCAACTCAGAGCATTCTAAACAAAGGAGGTTTCACAGGATTTTTCATATTCTTTCTTAGGCCTGATCACCCGGGAATCCGCCCTTTTCAGCACAGAGCTGCACCACCCTGTCATTGTTTCAGGCTTAGGTGGAGCAAGGGAAGTGAGGCAACAAAGAGATAAGGAGATTTTCTCCCAGACGAAGAGGACTCAGGCTATGTCAAAGCCGAGGAGTGAGGGTCCATCACCCCCTTTTGCTGTAGCCCCTAAAGTCCTTCTTTTGGGGCCCTCCCACGTGATTGTGCCTGTCTTAGATCGTTCCCCCCTTGGGGAATCTTACCGGTCATTGGCTAACCAACCAAGCTTTGGGGTTCAGTTGTGAATGAAGCAGCAGAAGCAGCATTCCTGCCAGGGAGATAAGCTTTTGTCTCCTTGCTGGCTTAAGGTTCCAAGGGCATTCCCTTAGCCTTAGCCTAGGTGGGGGTTACAGCATCTGATACCAGGCAGGGTGGTTCCCAACAGATATCGTTTCCCTGCATACTGAATGGACACCCACAACGGCCTTCAGTTTTGCTTACTTACTTGATGTTAGTGTTTTTCTGAAGCCAAAGGTGCGTGGCTGGTGTGTGTTGAAGCTGACACTGGAGCCCAGGTCTTCTGACTCATGATACATGACGTCATTTAAACTCTAGCGACCTACAGTTCTTGGATAGAAGGTTAAGAAATTTGGCAATCTACTAGTTAGAGTACTTTTTATTTTCCTCTTTATTTCTCTGTTAGGATCTCTCCATTTTGACCAGATCTAAATATGTAGCCCCTATTCAAAGTTTGCCTGCTATACATTTGATACAGTCAGCTTTGTATCTGTCACTTCACTTTGTTTTGTTCTCATTGTTGTTGAGTTCTCTGTCATCTTTTAAAGGGAGCATTTACAGCATTTAGATCCTGCAAAACACTTGGACAATGCTAGAAATTATTTGGCATAAGAGAAGATTATGGGGTATAAAATCTATACTGCTCTAAAATAGTGGTAAAGATCCTCATAGTCTCTAGGTTAAAAGATGATAATAGGATGTGGAAGGAAAAGCATAACAGCAAATACAACTTTGCCTAAAAATCATAGTTTCCTCATGTAATATTTAGTCACTGGGTTGTGAATATGTGCCTATTGTAAAATACCTAGTCACAGAAATAAGATTTGAAAGCTACTGCATAACAAACTCATGAGTATCACAATGAGTTTATCTTTCCATGTTCATTTCCTTTAGGCACAACTATTAGTAGAACTTGGTCTAGAAGGCAGACCCCTTGGCCCTTGAAAGTCAAGAGAATTAATGTAACAAAATCATAGGAAAACTAAGGTCAAAGATCACAAAAAGGACTCTACAATAAATTATGTCTTACCCTCTCAATTTTCCCTCTGGATAGTCTCAAGAAAATAAAGGCAGAAGTGTTTGTTAGGTGTAGATAATAAACCGAGAAACAAGTCCTTCTCTAAGGCTAAGACCAGAAAAGTGGTAGTAGAGTCAACTGAAAATTGTGTTTTTTAAAAAAATTGTTAAAATAATCAAACTCTTCCAGACACATATACTTGAGCATGCACACACGCATCCCACTTGTAAATTAATATCTGATACTTTTTACAAATGTTAATTTTGTTGTCATTGAAGATTTACCTGGTAATACTATTTGCTATTTACCTGGTGTTAGGGTAAAAATTTAAAATTTTGTGTCAAAGAAATAACACTTGAGTGGACAAAAAAATAATGAAGTCTATTTTTCTCTCATTTAACTGTCCCACAGGGTGAATAAGTAGGCTGCTCGCTCCACCTAGTAACTCAAGGATCTGAGTTCTCTCCATCTTTCTAGCTTATTTCATTTGCCTTTCAGAACATCACACTCAGCTGATATACTGCCTATCTTTTTGTCACTCCTCTGTTTTGGGAGAGCTGGTTCTCCCTCATCTATCCCACTTCTGAAGGTAGGGGAGAGGGTTGAGCCCTTGGATTGTTCCTTTTTTTAATATCACTCACTCTCTAGGTGACTCACCCAGTATTGTGATATTAAATAATAACTACATTGATCACTTCTAAATGAGTATTCTTAGTCTGGATTCCTCTTCTAACCTTCAGACCCATACTTTTACTGGTCACCCAACACCTCAGTTGAAATGTAATAGGCATCACAACCTTGTCTAAAACTGGGTTACAGATATTTCTCTGAGTTACAGTAAATATCTGTAAAGCTGAGTTACAGATATATTACCCTCCTATAGTCTTCCTAATGTAAATTATAGAAACCACATCTTTCATATTCCTCAAGCCAAAATCATGATGTTTTCCTTGACTCTCTTTTTTTCTCTTTCACACCCCATATCCAGTCTCTCAGCAAATCCTACAGGCTCTCTACTTTCTTTATTTCTTTTTTATATTTTGGAAGTTCTCTTTTTATAGTTTACTTTTTATTGTGTATTTTCCATTACCATTTATTTCACTTGTGGCTTTCTATTCAACATTCACCCAGAATGCAAAAGCTCCTCATCTCATTACTTCATCAAGACTGTTCTTTGGTCCCATAATGGTCAATCGGCATTTCACTTCTCCCTTCCTGGGCTAATTTTTCTCCTTAGCATTTATTTCTAACAAACTGTACATTATATTTATTTACCGTTTTTTGTTGTCCATTTGAGCTCAAGAGGGGGAGGTATTTTGGTCTTTCTATTCACTGACGTATGGCCAGCATTTAGAATGTTGCTTGTGTGGAATAGACTCTCAGTAAACATTAGGTGCAAAATGAATGAATCTGGCTTCTCCTCCATATTCTAGGGTGTTTTCTTACCTGCTTGGTTGAGACTTGGTCCAATGATGGTTCGTGTTTAGCAACCAGAAGTGGGAGAGAGCACTGAGGAGTGTACACATAGTTCAGGGTCTGCACCTGGAAATGGCACACATCAGTTCCATTTATGTTCTACTGCAGAGAACTTAGAAACCTGGCCATATCTAGCTGTCAAGGGTTTGGAAATGGCACTCACAGCTTGAAAGTCATGGGCCCACCTACAACTTTATAATTTAGAAGAAGGATGGAACAAAATTTGGTAAACAGCTAACAATCTCTACCTTACCTACAATTTACAGCTTATTTCATTCAGAATGACAACTCAACACACTTTGGGCTCCTAGAAGTAAATTACAGGCTGAAGATAGACCTGTTCAGTAGTGTGAAATCCAAGAGTATTCCATAAACAATTGATACCAGTTTTCTCATTAAAACATGGCTGAGGCAAATCCCATTTGAAGGCTCTGCCAAAAAAGTAAAAAGGCTCTGCCAAGTCCGATACTCCTGCTACTTGCTTTAGACAGACACTCCGCAGAGCATGTGGCCCATATTGTTACCCTTTTATTGTTTTATTGCTCAGTGCAAACTTCAGAAGTTGTGCAGAAATAATATTAAGAATGAAGGGAAAAAAAGAAGTTTGGCTGAAAACTCCTGAAACAGTAAAATAAAATAAACTTATTTCTGAGTTTTTTATTCTTATCTCCTCAATTACTAGAACTCTTGAAATAAAACAATAAATGAACTTTCCTCCTTCTAATAGCAATCTATGAAATGACCTTCAGAGAACTATATAACGTAGATTTATGTGGTATGGAAAATCTACAATCCAAAGTCCAAGCACAGAGCTTTACAGCAAACATAATTTCAGGTATTGAAATTAATCAGTAAACCAGAAATCACATTATTGTGCTTTATCTAAAGTTTTAAAAATCCTAAGTCCTTTTAAGTCTTGTAAAATTAATGAATTGAAGTTAATTCCCAGCTAGCAAATAGAGTTTATGTTCTTATGCTTCAGGATAGAAACAACACAAAAAAGACATTTGTTAATGGTGTATACCCTTTCAGCAAATAAAATGTATTAAGTACTTGAAAAATAATCATGGTTTATATCAACAAGGTTTATTAGTGCTTCACTGAAAGAACTTATGACATTTTACACAGTGAGTTTGCTTCTCTGCCAAAGAATCCAAAGAAACAATTGCAAGTCAACACCCTCTCCTCCAGGTTTCACTGTGCTCCATGCAGTGTATTCAGATAACGGCAGCTGGCGGGAGCGTGACATTTTCACAGCTGAGAAGTGCACATTTTCCTCGTACTCTTGGATGAAATCATCTGAATTTTTTAAAGGGGACTCAATAGGCAGTCAAGGATCAGTAAAAGTAATGAAGTATTTATATAACACTGAGTCTGTAGTGGTTTTGTTTATGTAACATTTTATGGTTAAACTGTCTAGTCTAGCTGGCTATAACCACTCTCTGTGGTCCAAGACTAGCTCGAGGATGAGAATAGCCTAGCTGTGTCCTCTAGAAGCCAACTTCACAATCCTGTGGCAAATAGAAATTGAGAGATATTTGTTCAGTCCTCATACTCCTCAGTTCTGTGAATCTAGCCCCCATTTGCCAATGGCTTTAGAGTCATTTTTCTTCATGACCATACCCCTAGCTGTTAAGTAGGTTATTACTATATTTCCACTTTTCTTAAGATTATACAAATGAGACAGGAATTTACTGTTCTATGAAATCAAACACATAAGAAGAAAAGTATTATTTCAGATTTACTTCTTCAGTATACGGAGTTCACATATGTTGTGCATTTCTAGTACATTTTTGTTCTCATTCTCAGCCTTTTGAAACAATTAGTCCATGGCCTCTTCAACCTGCTCATATTCATTCTGTAGCAGTCATAGTTGTGATCTGGAGTATTTTCTGACAGCCAAGAATTTATTCTTATTCTGACCTAATACATCTGTAAACAGTAGATCATATAATTCATCTGGTAGTCTATAAATAATGCTGTTAACCAACAACTTTTTTTAATTTTTGATGGTTAAACTCATGACAACATAACTTGAAATGGTAGCCTTCTTTCTACCAATCCATAAGATTACCACTGGATCATTGGGGTTGTAGGTTTTGACACTTAAATTGCACATATGCTTCCCATGCACCAAATTTATTTGTTTTTATTTTTTTCCTTCTTGTTGTTAGGATGCAATTTTTTAAATTAATTTATTATTGTTCAATTACATTTGTCTGCATTTTCTCCCCACTACTCCCCCCCACCCCAGCAAAACCCACCTGCCTCCCTTGCTTTCACCCTCCCCCCTTGGTTTCCATGTACCAAATTTAAAAGAAAAAGAAATCACTTCTCAGATGAAATGCAAAACGTGTTGAATTACATACTCCCCAAAAGCACTTTATAAGGTACATTCTCCTTGGGATTATTATTAGGATTTTAATAAAAAAAAAGAATCCTGGCCCAGACGTTGCCAATGTGGGCGGCACCAAGGGCATTCTTTGTACTGTTAGAGATTTTGCAAGTTGGTATTTTTGGGTGACTGTTTCCTAAAACACATTCAGGAAAAAAATGTCTAACTTATGAGAAGGAGCCAGTGAGTGAGCTTACTTAAAGTCCCCTCCTATTTCTTGAGCTGAGATGCAGTAGGGAGCAGCTCACAAGGAGATGTTCTGTAAGGGCAGGATGTTGGGGGAACAATTGCCATCAGATCCCCCTTTCTGCAGGGACCCTCCTTGTCCACCGGCTCTGCCTCCGTGGATGTTTGCACCTGTAATCACGGTGCTTGAGGCTTGGGGCTGATCCAGGCAACATGAAGTATTTTCCTGCATGATTGTACAGCTCTCTCACAACCTCGATAAAGCGTTATCGCCAACATTGGTAACCTACAAAATGTGTTATGAAACGTGACCCTGTTTCTCTGGCCTCATCCTGAAGGTCACACTCCAATCCCTGTTTGCTCTAAAGAGCTGTTGCCGATAAACACTGTCATTCAGGCCAGAAGTCACGGTGGAAACCCCAGTCCATCTGTCCACAGCAGGTCCCCAACACAGCCTTCAACTCACAGCTTAATGTCATTTACTCAAAATATGGCCTTTCCTAAACTCCAAATCTAAATTAGTCAGTCCTATAACAATGGCTCAAATTATCCTATATTTCTCTTTTATGTCACTATTTGAAAATATGTATTTGTGACTTGGTTTTAAAGTTGTTTTTCCCCCATTAGGCTAATAATAAACTCCATCCAGGTAGTCTGGGTCTCTCACCATGGTAGTCCTGACAACTAGCATGTAACAAATGCTCAGTAAATAAATGTTAGTTGAAAGAATAAACTTCACTTCCACATTGCCTACCGGAAGGAAAGGTCTCAGAATATTGGCCAACCATTTCCCAGATTCTAGGTCCTTGTCTTATGATGAAATTTTTGAAAAGTACCCAGATGTGTCTTAACTGTCACAAAGCTGGCTTATGTCCAGAGATTGCTAACCAGCTCTGGTTGCTCAACTATCCTTCGAAAGAACAGCTAGCTCATTCCCTGGCTGGTTCTGGCAGGAGAAGGCCAGGTGCAGGCAGCCACAAAGTCCCTGTGCATAACAAACAGAAGCTACTTGTGTGCTTCCCTATGTTCTCCACAAAGATTGTCCAACCACTTTCCCTACTTTCTTCTGGACATCTTCCTCCACTTGCACAGTTAGAAGGCATGAAAGCACTCTCAATAACTGTTTTTATGTCTTCAAATGTTGTCACTTAAAGAATATTATCTTTTGCAATTCCTCAAATTAGATTGCCATTATTGGTTAGCCTGAACACCAAGGAGACCTGATTATATAAGTGCTAAATCTAATCCTGTATCTCCAGAGTTCTCTAACTAGGAGAGCTTGGTGTGTATGCCACCACTTTTCGGCCAGATGGCTATTGCCTCAAGACCTCCTTGTGCAGCTATGGGACAAACCATTGCTAAGGATGTTCAAACCAGCAGTGTCACTGGACCTGATATCAAACACATGCAGCCTCCCATGCTCCTCTATTACTCCTGTCCCTACCATGACATGAAGAGAGTGCTGCTCAGATATAAAGGATGCAGTCTCATGAGAGGAACTTGGTGACCATCTGTGGGCAGCCATCTGTGAAAATAAGCATAGTCCCAGAGCCACTAGACATAATAACTTCTGGTGATAGGCAGTCACCAGACACTGAGTGCCCTCTCCACAGCTTGCATCTGACCTATGCCTGTAGCCACACCAGAGACCCTCCTTAGCATCCTCCAAAGCCATGAACATGACTAGTAGCGGTTACAAATAAATTATTGTTAGAAATTCTTGCTCTAAGCCAGCTGACTTTACAGTTCTCTGCCACCAGTTGTTTTGAGTGTGGTTCCCTTGCAGTTCCTAATAGGTCTCGGCCATACATAATTTATGGCTTCTATTTTAAAAGTTCTATCAGAAATCAATAAGAATATAAATACACCCACCATTATGAATGTCCTCGCAGCAATCGTCAGCCCCTGCCATGCTATTCTTTTCACAGAGGCAGCCAGAACAATTGATGCCCTTTTTATGTCAGTTGTTTTGCTCAGGTTGAGACACAGCTGAATGGACCATCAGCTAGTGTTAGGGAAGCGTATCCTGCCTGGAGACCTTTAACTATGAGCAGTCATTTAAAGCACAGTTAGAACTTGGCCGCACAGTGGCACAGTTGACGTTTTAACACATTTAAGAATGAATACTGTATAGATTATGTTGGGAATGTTTTCCAGTCAGCCAATCTAACTAAAATCAAAGTAAATTGCTGTCATGCAAGTTACGTTTTGGTGTTTATTGAAGTCTTTGACTGTATTATCTATGTTGGGTAGTTTACATACAATGTGATAATTGTTTAATTAATGTACGACCAATAATTTCATTAAGTAATTCAATAAATCTTTATTAACTGCCTAATATGTGCCAGTCACCACATCAGGTATTGGTGTTATCATGATGAATAAGTCTCTACCTCTGCCTTCACAGTGTGTTCAGCCTACTCCATGTCCACGTTTAAATTCTTCCCAACACTCTGAAGAATAGGCAATAGGTCTATTCATCTGTATATTCTCCATGTCCTACTGAGTGCCTGGCACACAGTAGGTATGAAATAAAATTCTTGTTAAATAAGTTAATTAATAAATGAGGAAAGAAAGAAAGAGAGAAAGAGAGAGAGAAAGAGAGAGAGAAAGGAAGGAAGGAAGGAAGGAAGGAAGGAAGGAAGGAAGGAAGGAAGGAAGGAAGGAAGGAAGAAAGAAAGAAAGAAAGAAAGAAAGAAAGAAAGAAAGAAAGAAAGAAAGAAAGAAAGAGAAAGACCACTAAACAAATATTTAAAGATCAAGGCTGCCAAAGACCAACCACCAGAATGAGAAGCAACATCAATTTTCACTGTTCTTTGGGTTTAGAAAACAGAAGAGACATAGTCTTTGCCACCATTTCTACCATTTTGACTCCCATACAGCCTTCAATAACTCTTTTACTATGAACACATTATTTCCCTTTGTTCTTCCTTTGTTTTTTATAAAAAAAAATGCCTAGAGTAACATAAGGACTAGATGTTAGGTTTAATAAGCAGCTAATTAGCTGGGGCTTCCTCCCCTTCCATTTGCCAAAGCAAGTTACAGATCAGTTATCATTAGGTTTTGATTTGAGATTTTCAAATATATGCATTTCCTTCTGTGACTTTATTAGACCAAGCCTGGACTTCAGGAGGTCCAGAAATCAGGGGATTCCTAAGGAGTAGAATGTAACACAAAGCTCAGTCAACACCTCCTACTCCAATATCCGCTATGTAAATAAACTCCAGGTTTGAATGAGGCACCAGGCTAGTCTGCTGTTCTCTACCAACCATGGCCGAGAGTTGCATATCCCACCAGGTCTAGGAAGAGTCTTTGTAAGTGACCACTCAGTAGGTTCCCTGAAAACACTAGCCAATGAGCACTGAGCACCATTCCCTGCATATTTCCACAAAGAGTCCCAGAAATAAACTGGGCTTTCTCAATCTAAATGGTGGGGAAAGTTCTAAGTAATGAAAAACAATTGTCAAAATAGTATCACATAGATCATTAAGCCTAAACATTTTTGTTTCTGGGTGTGAAAAAATCACAATTCACAAATCACAATTCACAAATCATACTACTCTCAAGGCTGTTAATAACTGTGGATCAGAGAAATCTTCAAAGGGCTCTTTGGTAAATATATATATATATTCATTCATTTAACTAAAAACTTACCTACAAGGTGACAGGTAGCAAATTAAGTGATAAAGGTGAGTATGAACCAGTTCCTGTCTTGGAGGAGTCACAACCAAGAGAGGGAATAGTTTCAAGTATATTGAGTGCTGTGAAAGTATTTACACAAACTGCTCTCAGGGCAGAAATAAGAGCAACCTCCTTAGCTCCGCACTCAAGGGTATAAACTCTGGCGACAGATTGCCCTCCCCACAACCCAGCATCAAGCCTCACAGAGTGTGAGGTTTAAATGAGCTAATACTTGCCAATCATTTGGTAAATTCTTAATGCTTGTTAGCTTCTCTCCCCAAACTAAGATACCCGGCTTGTTCTATCCATTGTTATTTGAAACACTATTTTTGTCTCATGTGTAACTTCATTTTTTGCCTCATTATTGAATGACTGTTCCTCTCCCCCAAATCTTTATTAAAAACCTAAATACACATTGTTGTACATTAGCTGCTAAAAGCTGCTTTCAGAACTAATGAAAGTAATGCTCACCCACCCACCTACCCCCCAAAAAAGATCAGGCTAGAAAGAATCCAGGTCCCAAGGGCATAGCCAGTTGGAAGTGGCCCCAAGTACAACACCAAGGAGCACTCAAGTCTCCCAACACTTAGGTAACCAATTTACTTAGTACACATAGGTATACCATGAGCTCCAGGAGAAACGAAGGGACGCTAGCTGAAAAAATTTAAGGCACAACCATAGAAGTTTTAAAACCCAATTTAACCCTCAGGCTACATTTCCTCAGGCTACATTTCATGGTTGTTGGTGGGGATGTTTCCCTGCTTCTTCATTTTCCAAATGGAGAGAATGAAATTTCTAAATCCCAGCCCTAGGGGGAGAGAAAGGACTGGGAGCACTTCTGGACTTTCCTAGCCCCTCCTCATAGCTTCCCAAGTAAAGAGGGATGACGTCTCTGATTGGTGATGTGGGGAAGAAGGGTCAGAACTTGTCTTCACTCCCTTTCCCTCTACTTTAGAGGGCCCAGTCTCAGGATATTATGGGTTGAATTGTATCCCCCAGAAGAGATACGTTGAAGGCCTGACCTCCAGTAACTCTGAACATAAACTGATTTGGAAACAGGGTCTTTAGAGAGGTAATCAAGTTAAAATGAGGTCACTGATGTGGTTCTTCATCCAATATGACTGTTGTCTTTATAAAAAAAGGAACTTTAGATGCAGAGGCAGACACAGGTGGAAGGAGGACCATAAGAAGAGGTGGGGGAGAATACCGTGTGACCATGAGGGCAGAGACAGGAATTGTGCCGCGCGAGCCAAGGAGCACCTGGGCCTGCCAGCAACTGGAAGAAGCAAGGAACAGCCCCTGTCCTACAGGTTTCAGAGGGAGCCTGGCCCTGCCGGCACCTTGATCTCAGACTTCTAGTCTCCAGGCCTGTGAGACAGTATCTTCTGTTCCCAGTCACCTTGTTTGTGGCATAGTAAATCCTCAATGTCGTTGATAGGTTCTCGGAACTGAAGCTAAGTGACCTATAGTATAACAAAATCAAATTTACCATAGGCTAATTGATATACACAAAAGTTAAATTCCTACTGCATCTCGTCAGCGTTATAAGGAAATGCCTTTGAATGAAACATTATTCGAGGACATACTGTACTTTGTTACAGTAGTCTACCAAGTTAGTACACAAGACATTTTCTCTGCTCTGCTGCAAATGACCTGCCCCTGCAGAGAAAGCCTGCATGTCTACCTCGGCTTGTGTCTCAGAGGCCTGACACAATCCGGGGTGAGGTGGGTGAGGCAGGGAGGTAATGGGTCACACTAACAAACCCATTAGAGAGGCTCCTTCTCTAAATAACTTTTATTAATAGTAAAGCCAGTAGTTTGATCACTATCTTATTTCTGTTATTTCTGAATTTGAAGTAGGGAGACAGGCCTGATGTTTTGACCTAAACTCCAAGTCCAGTCTAGACACATAGTATAGGCATTAACTCATTTAACCTTTATAGCAGCCCTATAAAGTTACGTCTGCTATTATGCCCACCTCGCAGAGGAGAAGGCATGAGGAGGTCAAGTGACTCACCTAAGGGCAATGAACGCTGAGGCCTGGGGGCCAGAGTCTGTCCTCGCTGATTCTGCAAAGGCTGCGTTCCAAGCAGCAAGCCATTAAGTGGTCCTATGAAGAGAAATCCTATGGCCTAACCTGTATGAAGAGAAACCTGGGTTAAAAAGAAAAAGTAAACTTCTCCTTAATCTCTTTTGATCTTTTCAGAGCCTTTCCCCTGCCCAGGTGCCTTGTCAGTCTGTCAGGACAGGGAGTGCTGCATTAGACCAAAGAGCCCTTTTCAGGGAGTATCTCTTGGGACTCATGTCCTTAGGCACACCAGCTTGAGAAACAGGGAGAGAATACTTTGGGTGGCAGGAACTCTTTTGTTTGAATGTAGTTATAGAATTTTTTATAATTTATATATGCCAATCAAAATGCTCAGAGATTTCTTTATTTGAATTTTATAGACTGATATGCATATGCTTAGATAAGGCTTGCCCTTGCCATCCAGGGGCCCAGGCTGGCACATTCCCAAGCCATTGCAACACGAGATAATGGAATTGCTGCAGCAGAACAAGGTAGGCCAAAGGTGAGGCCCCGTCTCAGCGGGAAAAAGAAGTGACTTATGGAAGAGTTTGGGTTTGAGCAGGCCTTAAAGGATAGGTAGAATTTCAGACAGTCATTTTGAATTAACTTCTTTTGCCCTAAATTCATTCTATTCCAGTATAAGGTCAGAAACCCTGAAGATTCTAGAGATGGGTTAGGATCCTAGAGTTTGTATAGTGATATTATTTCTACAGCTAAGCAGAGATCACAAATTGGTAGCCCCAAGGAAGGATGTGACTAACAGACTTTTATTTGGCTGTTTGTATATGATGAGGCCTGTCCGGAAAGTATCCAGCCATATAATATGAAAGATAGAGACATTTATTGAAGAAGATACAAGATATAAGAAACATTGTATATAGGACAATGATGCTTCACTCCCCTTCAAAGTAGGCACCTTGGGAACCTCATACAATTCTCCCAATCGCCATCAGCTGCCCCATTGTATTATCCTGAACCTCATTGATGGTCTGAAATCTCTTCCCTTTCAAAGGTGATTTTAGTTTTGGGAAAAGCCAGAAGTCAGAGGGCGCCAAATCTGGGTGACTGATTTGAGTCACCTGGGTGACTTGATGTTTCACCAAAAAATTCTGCACAAGGTGTGATGCACGCATGAATGGGTGTGTTGTCGTGATGAAGCTGCCAATCACCAGTTGCCCATAGCTGCGGCCTTCTGAATCATCTGAATAGTTTCTGTGGAAGAATGTTCAAGCTTAATGCAAAATTTGATGCAGATTTGTTGCTTTACTCGCTCAGTCATTTTGAATGCGATGGCCACACAGTATATATGCTCACTCAATGGTGTCTACCACCCCCTCTGACTAGTACGGTGAAGTCATCATTGTTCACACATGTACATTCCAGTCCACTCTCCTTGGCTGCCAGGTTACATCCATGCTGTGCAAACCATTCTCATTATATTAACAATGGTTGGACTTTTTCCAGACAGACCTCATATGTATACATGCACATATAAATGTAGGTTTAATTTAATCCATGCACTCTTGGGTACCACTATTATTCCCATTCTACTTACTGTCTGATCACTGAAGGCATTTGAGTTTCCCTCTTCTAAGATGCTGTAACAACGTGACAGAGCTAAGTGATGTGGCAGCTTCACTCCCCTATGCACATTTCAGGACAGTGGCGGACAGCATCATGGAAGGCATCAGGGAGTTAAGTTGGCGAATACTTATGAAATATTCCTCTGGAAGTGATTGGATGATTCTTCCCAAGGTAGTTACCATGACTTCCCTCTAAAATGAACTCCCAGTGCAGGGCAATAGCATATATTTATGTACTAGTCCTGCCTATAGCATTCAAGTTCAGTAATTTTATAATGGATTATATTACATCAAACTCAGCAGATCTGTCATTCTCTTAAATATGCTAGGAAAAAGAGGAGGACAGGATACCAGATAATTTAAAATGTAATCTTTAAAAATCATTAAATAATGATCTGCAAGCCAGCTAAGTCATTCTCCTTGGAGGCTTTTTATGTTTGCTCTGAAATCTTTCATAGTTTTAGTTGTTTCCCTGTACTAATATGGTTGTCTCATCAATGTTCAGAAAATAAACACTGTAGGTTTACTTTCAAAGTATGTTTACAAAATACCATTATTGTTAGAGGCACTTGAGTACAATAAAACTCATCCCTACTTACATAACTCTTAGTAGAGGTGTGGTCACAGGAACTATTCCATGCCTCTTCATAATTATGGTGACACAGGGTCTGGACCAAGATACCAACAGAAAAGCTTTTGTAAGCCTCTTCTCACCTTTTCTTCTCAAGGAGTGCAGAGATAGGAAGCACTCTCTTTACTCCCTCAATTGCTCCTCTAAGCTGTGCTGCAAATCCAACTGTTTTTTTTTTTCTTTCCTCTTTGCACAAGCATTTTTCTAAGCACAGAGAAGACACCGTGATTCCGAGAGATCATAGGCTTCTGAAAAGCAGCGTCACAGATTTGCCCTAACTGTGCCTTATTAGCTTCCCCTCTGGGCAGTCCTCCGTTTGAAAGGGCTGCTGGTGGTAAGACCTGGGCGGGGCAGTCAGCCAGCCAGAGGGCTGCTCAACATCCTTCTCCCTTTGCAGAATCCTGTCTGTGCCTTCTCTCTCAGGGCTGGACACTGCGCTCCCAAGCTCAGGCTGCTGCAGAGGAGGAGCCATACATTTAAATGCTTATCAGTGAATGAGGTTATGAGTTGGAAAGGGTTGGTCAGGAAATTTTACTTTTTATGATAACCCAGCATTATTTGATTTGCTAACTAGGTATTACTACTTTAATTTTAAAAAATATTTAAATCCACCCTTGAGTGTTTGGACTGCTGCCCCTCCCTACAGACAGATTTCCTGAAAGAGCTGCCTTCACTTCTTGGCTCCTATTTTTCATCTCCTGTACAATATATTTAAACAAGGAATAATGTGTAACTGAATTTTATCCAGTATAACTTTTACTTTTTAATTTTTTTAAAGATTTTATTTATTTTTAGAGAGAGAGGGGAAGGGGCGTAGAAAGAGAGGGACAGAAACATCGATGTGAAAGAGAAACATCAGCCAGCTGCCTCTTGCACGTGCCTGGACCAGGGACCTGGCTTGCAACCCAGTCACGTGCCCTGACCAGGAATTGAACCAGTGATCTTGCAGGCTGATGCTCAACCAACTGAGCCATACCAGTTAGGGCTCCAGTATAATTTTTAAATGTTCAACTAGTACTAAAAGGTTTTAGTAAAAACTAACACTCCCCTCCTCAGTCTATAATCCTGCTTCCCCAACCCCTCTCCTAGTGGGAAACACTCTCAATTTTTATACTGTGTCTACTGATAATTATTTACATGTCTTAAAATTATAGAATTATACTGCTATTTCTTGATATATTTTAAATGTTTTCTATGTACCTCCTGTTATCAAATGTAAAGTATATCATCATACACACACACACACACACACACACACACACACACACACACACAACTTCCCTTTCCTTCTTCATCCTCTCAATATAGCTGTGGGAGCGCAAAAAAAAAAAAAAACCTTTCTTCTCACCTTTCTACATTCTTCTGCTGGGTTAATAATCCAATTAACAGAGACAGATCACCAAGAGAAAACGTCCAATATTTATTATGGATGTGCCTGTGAGGGTTCTGTAGAATATGAGACCTAAGGAGGCACTGGGCAGCTGAGGCTTATATGCCAATTCTGGGCGAAGGAGAGGGAGGCAGGAGTCTGGGATTTGAACGGGAAGAGAGGCCATCTACAGGTAGATGAGAAAGAGCAAATGTGGTAAACTAATTTTTGCCTGGGCCACCCAGAAACAGTGGAACTCGGAGGGAACCCAGGATTTGCTAGATGTCTCCCTGTCCGCCACATTCTGATTACAGGATGATGCGAGGGTGAGGCTCCCTTCCTGTAACCACGTTTTTTCTACCTGAATGTCTTTAGGCAGATAAGGTAGAAAAGTGTCCAAGATTCTTTCCAAGTCTTCTGTTTCTTAATAACCAGCTTAAAATCAATATCACAAAAGGCATATTTTGGGAGTGGCAAAACTTTGGTCCCCTTCATAGCCTCGTTCTAAGTTTTGGCTAAGTCAGCAGTCACTTACATTACTATGACCAATGGATATTCACTGTTCAACCCAAGTTGCATGTTTATGAATATTTTCTTGTCATACAACATTTGTTTTTTCCTGGAATTGAAACTGCCTTTGCTTGGCTTCCCATGTGTCTATCACTTATTTTTTTTTTCTACATGTTTCATAGATCTGCTGAACCCTTACCAATAATTTTTCCCAAACATTAAAAACCATCAGCTCTCTTCTCTTCCGGGCAGGAGAGGTTGGTTGCCTTCTAGAGAGGCCTGGCGCTGTCTGTCTCATCGCTCTGTCCCTCTGCTGGATCCCCTTGTATTAGTGGGGGCGGAGGGGGGGCAACTGCCATTGTAAAAAGATCTCCAAAAAGATCTCCAAATGTCTAAAAAGACACACTGTTGAGGTCTCTTTCTTGCCCCACCCCACCCCACCAATTGGTATGTTGAAACTCTAACTCCAATGTAACTGGATTAGGGGAAAGAGCTTTAGGAGGTCATTAAGACTAAATGAGGTCATAAGTGTGGGTCCTAATATAGTAGGCTTGGCAGCCTTAGAGGAAGAGGAAGAGGAAGAGGAAGAGGAAGAGGAAGAGAGAAAGAGCTCTCTCTCTCTCTCTCCATCATGTGAGGGCACATGAAAAGGCAGCTGTCTGCAAGTCAGGAAGAGGGCTCTCACCAGACATTGTACCTTTCAGCACCTTGATCTTACACTGTCCAGCCTTCAGACTGTGAGAAATAAATGTCTGGTATTTTGCCCATGGTGTTTTGTTATAGCAGCCTGAGCAGACTAAGACAGTACCTTTTTACTGGTCCAATCTGACTATATCAATTATCTGTCAGTCTTTTCTCACACATAATTTAGATTCTGCAGGGAAGTCTTCTCCAATCTACTATCCAATCTTTTGAAATAATTCCAGGAGTCCATCAGGGGAAGAGAGTCTAAGAACTATAATTCAGTACAAACATTTTTACTTAATCCCCACATTTCTGACTCCATGTCCCATCCTACGCTTATGCCAGACCCAGTGTCCAAAAGTCAAGAATCTCTCTCTCTCCAGAAACTAAAACTCCTTGAGCAGGTTGGAGGTACACGGAGTGTCATCCTCTGGCTGGGTCATATTAGGAAGGGGTCTGTGAGCTCAGTCAT